AGGTCTGGTGTGAACTCTTGTCCGTTTCCATCCTGTGGATCCAAATGCAGTGCTGGACACGGTGGGCACATCTTCTGTCTTAAAATCAGCTGCTCCCTGACTTCCGGGCGCTTCACTAGCACATGTTTTCTAGGCGGTTTCTGACTCCCCAGCCCTCCTTCCTTCTCCTCTGCAGCACACCTTCAGGGCACGAGTACCTGGGCTTCTGTCAATCACTTTGACAAAACCAGCCTGACTGTGCGTTCGCAGGTCTGTGCCTTGGCCCAGACCTCTCTCAAGGAAAGAAAGAGCGTGCATGTATACTTCATGCTTCATAATTCTCAGATTGCTGTGTAAACTTGGTAGTTATTTCCAACGGTTGTGTAATGTTATGGTAAGTGACTGTGCCATAATGAGCCCGACCATTTTCCTATTGAAAATTACTTGTCCTGAATTTCCACTTACGGTTTGCGATTCCACAACATATATTGATTTGGAGGTTTGGTGGAATGGAAAGCAGAGAACTGTTTTCCTCTCAAACTAGCTTGGCATTCCCACATAAAGACAGGAGACTCCGCAGCATCTTTGGCTTCCTCAAGTCAGCTAAGAGGCTCCTGTCACTCTCCGAGTTCTGGGCAAACTACTGATAAAGCTTGTCGTGCTCCGGGCTCCACCTCAGCTCTCGATTCCCTGACTCCAACTGCTCTGCACTGCTGGAGGAGAAGTACTTCTTATGTCCCCAGGGCCTGAGGGTTCTAAAGGTTTTCACACTGTGTATCTGAGTAAATTTGAAGAAAGCCTTGCTGTGAGTCCAAGCAGGGTTCACCCACACCTTGAGCTGCAGCTTCCCTACCTGCTACCCACCTTAAGAGTGTTCTTTGTCACTCCTGGCAACCCAGAGGCTTCCTGAGCCAGGGACCGTGCTGCGTCTTGATCTGTGGTCATCTGGAGTGGCCCTGGGACCAGGGAGCAGTGCTGTTGTCCACTCTGTGTTGCTTTTCTCTTCAGAAGTGAGGGTGCACACGATCAGGCTGTGGAGGGAGCCTGGGAACTTGGGCTTATGTTTCCCCAGCTTTTCTGCTCTGGAAGCCCCAGCTTTGGGGGCTCTGCAAACCCCAAAAGTTCGTAATTCTGAAGGTGGCAACACTGCCAATTTGGATCCCTTTTTTGGGTGATTTGCGTTTGCTGAAGGAGCCTGTGTTTGGATTTTTGACCTGTTTGTGCCTCAGTCTCTGCCTGTTGTTCAGCCACACTGGTGAGGACATCTGCAGCAGTTGGCCGACTTGCTTTTGAATCCTTCCCTTTCCAGCTGGACTGCACATTACCCCTGTGTAAGCAAAGGGGTTGCTTCATCCCCGATGTGCACCAAGCACATCCGGCATGGGTGGGGTAAAAAGCCAGTGTTTTGGAATCATGGCGTGGTTGGGAGCAGCTTCCTTGCTGAGAGTAGCCTGTGCCCGGGCTGGTGGGTAGTGAGCACAGTAAACAGCCGCCATCTTGGCGTCCTGGGGCTGTCTCCACACTCGTCTCGGGGTCTTCCTTTGTTTCTCTTTGCTCACACTAATGTATTTCCCTCACAGTCCACAAAGAAACAGGTTGCCTTTAGAACCGGAAAAGTGCAGACACAAAGGCAGCAGCTGTTCCTCTTCAGCCCCACACAGTTGCATTTGTGCCTCGGGTGCCCTGCCATACACGTGCTCTGAACTCCAGGGCGGGGTGACTGTGGGCCAGGTGTTGTGAATGGAGCTGCCGAGTGTGATGGCCAGACCAAGGCTTATTGTCGATGAGTGATAGTCACTCCAGCTACTCTTAAATTGATTTGAAATTAATCAAGATTCAGGTGATTTTTTAAAACACCATTCTTTGAAAACCCAAGGGTCTGCCACCTTCTACTGTAGGACATTGGTACCCAAGAGAGAGGTTTGTCTAATTTCTAGCCAGACAAGACACCCACTTTGAGTACTGCAATGACAGTCAAGGAATGGAGAGGAGACATCAGCAGAGGTGGCAGCCTGCCCCACTCCACCTCTGAATGGCAGGGTAATGCTCACCTACGTGGGCCTGGCCCCTTCCTCTGATTGAAGCTCTCAAACCTGTACCATCCTCTCGGGTCCCAACACCCCTAACAGACATCTCAGAATTGAGATGGTGATCCAAGGTGTAGAGTCTCCCTACCACCTCCTTCCTCCCAAGCACCCATAGTGGAGGGGCTTTATCCCTAAACAAGGAGAAAGACTTCGTTAAGCAGAAGAGACCCAAGAAAACCCTGGAAGAAGGAACACAAGCCAGAAAAGACATGTTCTCAGTTGAATGCCGTACCCTTGACCTTCCTGTTATCTCAGGCAATGGAAAATCCTGGAGAAAATGAAAGACTAAAAACTCGGCCTTGAAGAAAGTAATGCCCAGAAGCAGGAGTGTCTTTTAAGCACAAAACTTAATGAGCTCATAAATTTATTAACGTAAGAGCTCAAACTTCCTCCGAGACAATAAAATGAGATGGGAAATATGGAACTAAGGGAATAAAATGAGACTAGAACATCCAAAACCAATAAATTTGAAGCAGTAAAGAGTTTAATGGCCTGAAAATACAGCTTTAGAATTTAGAGAAGAAAAACAGAGAGAGGGAGGAAGGAAACTTAAACAATCCTAAGGGTGATCCAGGATAACATAATTGAATTGCCTAAAGAAAAAACCTTATTCCAAAATATATATATATATATATATATATATATATATATATATGTGAAGATGTAATAGATGAAAAGTTTCTCATCACTGAGTTGTCAGAAGGCAAAGGGTATATGCAGCATTTGAAGGGAGAATTGTCATAATCACACCAGTCAAGGGTTAAGATCCACACAGAGAACTAAGAATACACAACTGTGTGAATAGGACTGAAATGTTACGAACTTTGAAAAATGAGAGATGAGTCTGTATCTAAAACTGAAATATGTAGCTAAAAAATTCTACTTAAGGGCTGGGGGGATATAGCTCAGTTGGTAGAATGCTTGCCTCACAGGTATAAGGCCCTGAGTTCAATCCCCAGCACCACACACATACACGCGTGCGCGCACACACACACACACACACAAATTCTACTCAAAATATCTGTTTAGATCTAATTCTTAACTCAAGGGGTATTTTTTGGAAATAGTATCTCTTAAATTTCTTATATGGAAATATGGATAATTCCTTTATTTTCACTTCAGCTTCATTTTAAGTACAAAATTAAATTTTATTCTTTTTGTTTAAAACATATCAATTGAATTTTTGCATTTTTCTTTGTAAGGCACTGTTTAATTTTTTTTAATAGCTACTTCTAAAAGTGAAAGCTTATTCCAGAAAATTATGTGAAACATAGTAGAATACTCATGTGCCCCAGCTAGGACTCTGGTTGAACAGGTCCTGCGTGGGCCTCTGCATGGCAGGTGTAAATCTGTGGTGTGTCTGTGCCAGCTGCCCCACCGCATTGCTCTGGCTGTGTTCTTAGCCTGGTGGCGTCCACTTTCGTGACCACCTGCCTCCTGACTTTCTGAAGATGAATGGGGAAGCAGCTACCCTTCGTGGTGATTATCATTTTTCATGTCCCCCATGCCTGGTGGCATTGATGAGTGACATAAAGCCATCACTGCATCGTGAGGAAGGAAAACCAGCAGGAAGATGTCATTTCATGAAAAAGTGGACTGAGCAAGGAAAATGTTGTCTCAACATCATTTTTAAAGATTAAAGAGTTCAGAAAATAATCATTTTCCTGTTACGCCTTAGCTGAGACATTATAGTCATGAGGACCTTCTGAGTGTGGTGGGTAAATAACGTCTATAGTGGAATAGGACTTATTTTTTTTTCATTAACTCATAATTGAGGGCACATAAACTGATGTTGCAACATGACTAAATTATTTTATGCAGATTTTTACTCTCAATAAATGCAAAGTAGTTAATACAGTATAGACATTTTGGTCTAATATGAATTTCAGAGATGTGCATTACAAGAGCTACTTGAAAATAACGAAGGATTAAAGTATTTGGCTTTTTTACCAGTAAGTAATATATAATTGAATAAATTTTGCTTATGTTCCTAAGGATCCAACAAATGGAAACAAAACTAAATTAGGACTAGTGATTAATTATTGCTCAAAGATATAATAGTTGACAGAGGTGGTGGGTGGTTGATGCCACTTAAAAGATGATTTATTTCCAGCATAGCTAGACATGAGGGCGGTTTCATCTCCTCTCTCCTGCAGTAAGTCTCACCTGTCTGCTTGCCTGCCTTCCTACCTATCAGTGATGACAAAAACATACTCAGTGAATATTTTATTCAGTTAAAATGGCAATGGTGACTGTTTTTTCTTTTTTTACCAAAGGCCATTGCAACTTATTGTTCTTTAATTTTGTTAATGAGAAACCCTAAAAAGTGGATTATTTTACTTTCTAAATTTTCTCTGTGTCGCTGTAACTGCTGTGTTAGCAGTAAGTACTCATGACTGACCAGGTGATGTATCTTGACCGTCCCAGGTGTGGTCATTCTAGAAGTTACCAGAGGGCAGCCCTTGTTCTCGTAAGAGCATCAGTGTTGCACGAGTGGAACCTGCTGAAAAGTGGGCTTCAAAGGCTCCTTCATGTGACATGCCCAGCACAAAGGCCAACTTCCTCCTCATTTGGAAGCACTTCTCAGACGGTGGAGTTGGCAGAACTCAGCTACGGAATGAAGTAGGAGGATGTTGGTCCAGGGCCTGGGCTTCTCTGGACAGGAACGTGGTGTCTAGAAGTGCACACCAGGCATGAGCATTCCCATGGAGTTTGATTAGCAATATTCTTAACATTGCTAGGACTTTAGAATGAAGTTTATAAAAGTTGTCTTTACTTAAACTACCACCTTACTATAGCACCCTCATCATGGTGATCTTAAATTTGTTTAAACACACACGCACACGCACACACATGCACACACACATGCACACACACAAGCAGTTGGTGTATGTACAATTTTACCATTTGGTTTCCTTTCTTCTTTTTCAACAGAAATTCTAGAAGCAGGTGTTAAAGGATCTTCGGAATCTCTGAAAGGTGTGAAACGGAAAAAGATTGTTGCTGAGAATCACCTGAAAAAAATACCAAAATCCCCCCTGAGGAATCCTCTGCAGGCAAAACATAAACAGAATACCGAAGATTCGTCTTTTGCAGTTCAGAGTGTGTCAGAATCTCACAAGAAGCCGAATTCTGTTCCTGTAAGAAATGGGAAGCTGTTCACCAGACAGAATGGAGAGGCGCCTGCCCTGACTGCTGAGGCCTCCAAACCCGGGGGCTCCGTCTCCCCCGAGAAGCCCTCGTTTCTGCAGCGCCCGGCGGAGCTGCGGAGATGGAGATCGGAAGGCGCGGACCCTGCCAAGCACAGTGTGCTGCCTGAGAACTGGGACTCGGGTTCTCTGTCCAGTAAAACCAGGACTGACAGCAGTGAATGTATCTCTCCTCACCGCACCACGCCCCCCGCGTACACCAACACCGCATTTGATGTCTTACTGAAAGCAATGGAGCCAGAACTGAGCACCTTGTCACAAAAGGGCTCGTCTTGTGCAATTAAGACAGAAAAACTGAGACCAAATAAAACTGTACGATCCCCATCTAGATTAAAAAACAGTTCAGCGAGTGCCCCAAATCAGACTCCACCAGAACCCGTTGCCGAGCCGCAGCTTCCTCCCAGTACCTCATACACAGTGCATGTCTCTGCTCCTCAGAAGAACGAGCAAGCAGCAGTTCAGTCGGTTTCTCATCTGGATAATCAGCGGGAACACTTTGTTTCCAAACCTAATCAACACAGTCAGCAGCTCCCTGGGCACTCGGGTTTCACAGGAGCACTGACGAATCTGCAAAGTCAGGAGAACGGCAAACATGAACAGGTGTATAACTCAGCAGTGACATCAGCCACAGGTCTCATTTCTCCTTCCAGTAGAACTCAGGTCACTCCTCCAAACCAGCAAGTGGATTCTGCTTCACCTTTGTCAATAAGTGCAGCCAATTCCACACAGTTGCCCCCTGCGCCACTTTATAATTCAACTCACGTTGCCTCTGTTGTTAATCAAAGCGTAGAACAAATGTACAATCATCTTCTGAAAGATCAGAAACCAAAAAAGCAAGGAAAATATATTTGTGAGTATTGCAATAGAGCTTGTGCAAAGCCTAGTGTGCTTTTAAAGCATATCCGCTCCCACACAGGAGAGCGGCCCTATCCCTGCGTGACTTGCGGATTTTCATTTAAGACTAAAAGCAATCTGTATAAGCACAAAAAATCCCACGCACATACTATCAAACTGGGCCTTGTCTTGCAACCAGATGCTGGTGGTTTGTTCTTGTCCCAGGAGTCCCCCAAAGCACTTAGTATCCATTCAGATGCAGAAGACAGTGCAGAGAGTGAGGAAGAGGCTGCTGCTGAAGGAAGACAGAATGAGCGGGGGGCCATGGACTTGCAGCCTGTGCAGATAATGAAGAGGTCGTCAAATCCTGAAGCCTTTCCAAAATCAAGTTCCATTCTAAGCAATCCAGATCAGGTGGCAGGTGACTTTTCACTACAGGACCCATCTTCAGAATCACAAGCTGTGACAGACTTACCAAAAGTTGTGGTCCACCCTATCAGCGTGTCCCCATCCAGAACCGACAGCTCGCAGGTTGTCAGTACCAAGCCCGAGCTTCCTAGTGCACACAGACAGAAGGACCTTCAGGTAACAAAGGCACTGTCACAGTCTGCCACTGTGACCTCCCTAGAGACTGAGGAGAAGTCCCGTCAGAAAGGGGACACAGGTCAGCCGGAAGGGAAACAGGACTCCCATGGTGGAGGAGCGGCCCACGCCCAGCTGCAGAGGCAGCAGGCCACCGATCACTCCCAAGAGCAGCAAGGAAAGCTGCTGCTAAGCCCTCGCAGTTTAGGAAGCACAGATTCCGGCTACTTCTCACGATCTGAAAGTGCGGATCAAACAGTGAGCCCACCCACTCCCTTTGCCAGAACCTTCCCCACCACCGAGCAAGACTCTGCTAAGAGCAATGGGCCCTCTGCACCAAGACTCAGTACACCAGCACCCTCCGCGCTGTCGACAGGGGAAAAGCCACCCCTCGTACCTGGTCAGATGCGCCCTCCCTTGGCCACCAAGACCCTGGAGGAACGGATATCAAAGCTCATCTCAGACAATGAAGCCTTGGTGGACGATAAGCAGCTGGACAGCGTGAAGCCACGGAGAACCTCTCTCTCCAGACGAGGGAGCATCGATTCCCCCAAATCATACATATTTAAAGATTCTTTCCAGTTTGACCTGAAGCCAATGGGACGGCGAACCAGCTCCAGCTCTGATATAGCCAAGTCCCCGTTCACCCCGACAGAGAAGTCCAAACAAGTGTTCCTCCTGTCCGTTCCTTCCCTCGACGGCTTGCCTATCACAAGAAGCAACTCCATGCCGACCACAGGCTACTCGGCCGTCCCTCCGAATGTGATCCCTCCCCCGCACCCACTGAGAGGAAGCCAGTCATTTGATGACAAAATTGGTGCTTTCTACGACGACGTCTTCGTCCCGGGACCTAACTCTTCTGTGCCACCAAGTGGACATCCTCGCACTCTCGTCAGGCAGGTAGCAGTGGAAGACTCTTCAGCCACTGAAAACCACGTTCTCGGCCCCAGCCAGTCCTTGGATGAGGGCCACCAGGGAGGCCACGCCACCACGGAACCTGTGTCGGCCCGCGGCAAGACCTCGGCACCGGGCTCCCATCTGGAGAAAAAGAAGTCTCATCAGGGCCGAGGGACCATGTTTGAGTGTGAAACCTGTAGAAACAGGTACAGGAAGCTGGAAAATTTCGAAAACCATAAGAAATTCTACTGTTCAGAGTTACATGGGCCCAAAACAAAGGTCCCTGTGCGGGAGCCCGAGCACGGCCCCCTGGGGAGCAGCGCGCAGCCGCAGGTTCTCCACTACAGGGTCGCAGGCTCCTCGGGCGTCTGGGAACAGACGCCGCAGATAAGGAAAAGGAGGAAAATGAAAAGTGTTGGAGACGACGAGGAGCTTCCACAGAACGAAAGCGGAACTTCCCCCCAAAGCTCCGAAGCCCTACAGTTTCAGAACGCCCTGGGCCCCGTCCCCAGCCTGTCTAAACCCTCTGTCGCCGGATCAGGGGACCAGCAGCACCGACACGTGCAGCTGCAGAACTCCCAGGTGCAGCTCGTCACCAGGGGCCCTGAGCAGACTGTGGACCCAAAGCAACAGATAAGTTTGGCTGCCCAGGACCGGGTGGAGGTGAAGAGACAAGGGGCCGGCATCTCCGTCATCCAGCACACCAACTCCCTGAGCAGACCCAGTTCCTTTGACAAAGTCGAGCCCTTCGAAGGAGCTTCCACGGTTTCTTTCCAGGAGCTGAGCAGAACTGGGAAGCCTGGGTCTCTGAAAGTAGTAGGGATCTCCCCAGAGGACACGTCACATCCTCACCAGCGTACGCTGTCAGAAGCTGTCAGAGGAGAGCCATGGGAAAGTTCCAGAAAGATGCCAGGCGAGCGGCATGTGCTGGGACAGCCCTCGAGACTTGTCCGACAGCACAACATCCAGGTGCCAGAAATTCTGGTCACGGAAGAGCCAGATCGAGACCTGGAAGCCCAAGGTCACGATCAAGAAAAATCTGAGAAGTTCAGCTGGCCTCAGCGTAGTGAGACCTTGTCAAAGCTGCCAACAGAGAAACTGCCACCCAAAAAGAAGAGGCTCCGTCTGGCCGAGATCGAGCATTCCTCTACTGAATCGAGTTTCGACTCCACTCTCTCCCGGAGCCTGAGCAGGGAGAGCAGTTTATCCCATGCTTCAAGTTTCTCAGCCTCCTTAGATATAGAGGACATCTCTAAGACAGAGGCTTCACCAAAAATTGATTTTCCAAATAAAGCCGAGTTTCTTTTGATTCCACCTGGCTCGAATACGCTGAATGTTCCCGGAAGCCACCGGGAAATGAGGCGGGCTGCATCTGAACAGATCAGCTGCATGCAGACATCCCTGGAGGTCCCCAGCTTCAGAAGTAAGTCATTCGACTGTGGCAGCATCACACCAACCCAGATGACACCGCTTGCTGAGTCACAGCCTTCGACCCCCACCTCTGGCACTGGGGTCACCGGACACGTGCCTCTCTTAGAAAGAAGGAGAGGCCCACTGATCCGGCAGATATCTTTAAACATAGCTCCAGAGAGTCTTGTGCCTCCAGTGAACCCACCATCTTTCCAAAATACTGCTCTGCCCAGCGTGAGTGCAGGGCCATTTCAGGGTCCTCCGCTCCCTAATACACCTTTGGGTGAGTTTTCAACAAACACTTTGCACTCCCAGACGCAAGCTAAGGATCTGCGGACAGAAGCGCCAAGCTCCAGCTCTGCTAACATCTTTCCTGTCCAACAGCTTTTTGGTGTCAACTTATTGAACCAAACCCATACACCCCTTGGCCAGCAGAACGCACAGCTGCCTCTGCCGGGGTCTGAGCAGGGTGACACACCAGGTGCTCAATCCACTCTATGTGTGTCTTCTCAAAGCAAGGATTGCTTTGCTCCCAAGTACCAGTTGCAGTGCCAGGTTTTCACCTCAAGCCAGTCTTGCTCCTCTAATCCCGCACATCCTTCACCGAATCAAGTTCTTTCAGATCCAGACAGAGCAGATAGTTGTGCAGCTTCAGTGGCATTGCCAATCAAATTAGTGGATCCCCTGTGTGATTCATGTCCTCTGCCACTGCCGGAGCTCGGGCCACCGGGCAGGCAGGTGCACAACGTGCCATCCTCATTCATGCTGCCCGTGCATCTGCAGAGTAATGTTCCCACATACTGTTTTGCCACTGTGATATCTCTGCCACAGATCCTAGTGACCCAAGATCTGTGCAGCACGCCAGTTTGCCAGGCTAATCAAACGATAGTGCCAATCAGTGAAGAACAGAATTCTGTGCCACAGTCACAGAAAGCTCACCAGAATGCTTTGCCAAATCCAGAGAAAGAGCTTGTTTGCAAAAATATTTTTTCAGAGTTCAGCCAAAATTCTCACTCTGAATCCTTGCCGGTCACTCAGAAAATGTCTGTTGGTAGACTTTCCCCCCAACAAGAATCTTCAGCTTCTAGTAAAAGGATGCTCTCCCCAGCAAATAGTTTAGACATCGCCATGGAAAAGCACCAAAAACGGGCTAAAGATGAAAATGGAGTTGCTTGTGCCACAGATGTTAGGTCCATAGAGCCATTAAGTTCAAGAGCAAATGAGGTTAATAAGCAGAAAAAACCAGTTTTGGTGAGGCAGGTTTGCACTACAGAGCCCCTTGAAGGTGGGATATTGGAACAGGAAGCTTTTTCTAAGCCTGAAACTGGTAGTGAGGCTGTTAATTTGCCAGATGTTTTACCAGCTGATCATTTGTCATCAGGACAGTCTAAGTTGGTAGTCACAGAACCTATCAGTGAATTACAAGAATTTGAAAACATCAAGTCATCTGCATCATTAACTCTCACAGTCCAGAAGTCACCTGTCACTTCAGAAAACAACCTCGTTTCCCCTCTGAAATCTGCAAACAGTAACCAGGAAGGGGAGTCTCCAGGGGCGAAGAGCCAAGGGAACAAAGCCAGTGCACAAGGGCAGGGTCAGCCGCCAGCCGCCACCCTTCCACTGTTGGGCCCTGCGGATGCACAGCAGCCCTCTTTCCCCAGCCTCAAGACTGCCACCAGCTTCACATGGTGTTACCTGTTAAGACAGAAGTCACTGCCTTTGCCACAGAGTGACCAGAAAACGTCAGCCTACACCGAGTGGACAGTAAGCAACAGTGACCCAAATCCACTTGGTTTGCCTACGAAAGTTGCGCTTTCTCTCCTTAACTCAAAGCAGAAGACTGGAAAATCACTGTATTGCCAAGCAATAACCACCCATTCCAAATCAGATTTGTTGGTCTATTCAAGCAAGTGGAAAAGCAACCTAAGCAAGGTACTCGAAGTATAATTTGCCTTCAAATATGGCTTGTGCAAATTAGTTTTATTGACTATCTTACTTAGAAGCATTTTCATTTTAAATGACAAGTTGTACTATATTTATGTAGATATTAAAAGGCAGGGTGTCACACTGCTGAGAGTTATCTGAAGTCCTTTTGGTGATTCTGTCATTTAGGAAAGGACAACTTTTTGTTCCTCGGTTAATTACGGTATGTGTCTACTTGATTGTCCTTCACTGAGAGTCTCAGTTGGACTTGATCTTTCTCATCTGTTAAGGTGGTGGTGTCTTTGTTAAGTGAGAGGAGATTAGGCATATGCTCTGGTGGGTGTGGATAATCAAGGATAGTTGTATTTTATTGTGAAATGTGAGCAGAGAACTCTTCACACTTGTTCATACTAACTCTCTCCCTCTCCAGGCCCATCCCAGCGCTCCTCCAGAGTAGTTCTCAGAATCAAGAGTCACCAAATAAGTTATATACTTAATAGTTGACTTTGTCAAGATTTATAATGAAATTTAAGATCATAAAACTACAATTTTAAGTAATTGATGGAACTGGTCTCATTAGAATTATCAGCCTTATGAAATTAGAAAAATCATTTAAGTGATTACGAATAAATCCATAAAGATATCCCATTGCACTCTGGACATTCAGAATTATAGGTGAAGTCATTGACCTCTGCAGATCCCCAAGCATATAATTAATGCAGGTTCTTAAGCATTTACACACCTATCAACAAGAAAGTCCTGCAGTGTCAGCCTCGTGACAGAGCGTGCAGTTCCGGAGGAAGGGAGTCTTGAGTGGTGCCTGCAGGTTGAGGAGGTGTGGATACTCTGAGGATGATGCTATCCCTTGGGGTCTCAAAAGCAATAGTAAGGAGAATCATTTGGGATGCTTCCAGCAAACAAGAATTACAGAATTTTAATACATCACTAAAGGACACAGGAGTGAAAAGAACCCTGGTTCATTTAAAGAGCTGCAGAGTCTGGCATGGCCAGAAATTTTGTGAGTTGGAAATGTAGATAAAACCCACAGCATATGCATGATGGTGGAGAAGGAAGTAAAGGAGGGTGCCTCCACCCCTTTGTGGATTTGCTTTCTTGAATCCTCAGGCTCTGAGGCTGCTGAGTCAGAATCTTACAGGAGACCCAATCATGAGAACTTAAGCAACACTTCATTTGCATTCTGATGTGCCTATGGAAAAGGGTGCTCCTAGGCTGTGGGTGTAGCTCAGTGGTAGAGCGTGTGTTTAGCAATCCCCAGCATCCCCCCCCCAACCCCCCAACCCAACGTCTTCAAGTTCCAGATGTCTTGGAAGAAAGGTCTGGAAGTCTGTAGCTAGACGGGTCTCAGGAAAGAGCTCCAGGTGAGGGTGTTGTGTGGAGAGCCTTTAGTGACCCGTGTGATTGATGAGATTGTTCAGGAAGGTGTGAAGAAGAGCAGAGGGCCTCGCCTGGGTCCTGCAGATCTTACCATTCAAAGGGTTGAGTGTGAAGAGAGTCCAGCCCAAAATTGAGAAATTGTTCATAGAGGAAGAAGGAGCACCAGGAGGAGGAGGACCGCGGCAGCAGGTGTTTCGGGAGTTGCTGGAGGAGAAAGGAGGGAGGAAGGTGAAGGCAGGCAGGAGTGTGTGTCCTGAGCTGTGAGGTGTTGACGGAGACTTGAGTCCCAGAGCCGGGGCCTTGGAGGACTGGGCACTGCACCGACTGCTCCTCCAGATCCAAATGTCAGTGTGTTCATGATTCGGGGTGGAGAAGGACGGGAGCTATAGAGCAAAAGGGTTTCCAAGGAAAATCGGAGTCAGGGCATAAGATGGCTGTCGAGCTCACTAAGATAAGCTGACGATCGTGCAGCCTAACTCATTGGTAATTGGCAAATAGAAGCCAGATTTAATAAAAGATGGGCAAAAGATAAAGGGGAGTTTGGTGTTGAAAGAAAGTAAGAAAGGATTATGGTTAAAAGGATAAAGTCAGAGGAAAGAGTGTGCGTCTCATCCACGTTGTGGGAAGCTAGGGCTCATCGGGAGCAGAGGAAAGGAGACCATCATCTTCACCTTGTACCTCCTGGTGAGGGACATTGCCTGGCAGCTTCTCTTTCCTCCCGTCTTTGTAAGAACAGGGCCTCCAGGGTACTTTCCCGAGGCCTGAGGCCCTCCTTCCATCACGAACGTCCCCAGCATTTGCCTTCTTTAGGCTTTCTCAGGACCGTGACTGGCTACCTGGCAATGTCACTTTTTACAGGAGGTTGTATAAAAGAAGCCCCTAATTAGAGAGTTTGAGTCTTTGCAGGTGACACTTGACTTGGAACACGTAACTGAACTCCGAGAGGGTCCTTTCTCGCTGGGATTTGTCCACCCCAGCTGCCTGCCTCACAAGTACGTGGGAGTGCGAGGGCACCTGGTGCAGTTGTATGGAGTCTCCTACAAAACCACAAGGTGGCATTTCCTGGAGGAAGACCACACATGGCTTATCACATCAGCATATCATTTTAGCCTTTGTAACCTTTTTCAGAGATCTTTATCAGGCCCAGTCTTGACTTTTGAGCTGACCTGAAATTCAACAGTGACTAGAATTCGGGGAATTTTTGTGAAGACCTGGAGAGGAACCATGTCTGTGGTTTAAAATAATGGGGGGCAGGGGGCGGAGAGTAAGTAACACACTGAGAAACCGAGCTGCCTCCAGTGCACGTAAGGTAAAGGAGAGGAGAGCTAGTGATGTTTCTTGGGGCTGAGACCTTAGGGTACCACACAGCTCTTTTCCATCTCCAAAGAATAAACTCTTTAAGAACCATATTTAAACTGTGTTCTAAGTGGTTAGTTAAATACAGAAAAGAAAAAAATTTACTATCAAGTTTATGAAGTGTTAGGTTGGGAGGTTTATTTGGGGGTGTCAAGGACTGTGATGGGATTTTTAAAAATATCCTAAGATGGGTCAGTTTGCTATAGTGCAGACAGACTGGAATTATTAAAGCAAAATGATCTTGAATGTGTTATTTTAGAATGCGTTTCATTAAGATAATTACATGCTCTGTACGCTGCCGTGCTTTAATTTCCACTGAACATGACATATGTTTGTGTTTTCAGTTTTATTAAATTAGTTTCTCTTTTCTTTCCCTTTCAGAGAGCATTAGGTAATCAAAAGTCCACAGTAGTTGAATTCAGCAATAAAGATGCCTCTGAAATTAACAGTGAGCAAGATAAAGAAAATTCCTTAATCAAAAGTGAACCAAGAAGAATTAAAATATTTGATGGAGGGCAAGTACAAGTTTTACTTCTGAAATGTACATTTAAACTTACTTTTTAAATGTACATTTTGCTTTCATGTGAATGAAGACTTACGAGTGCCAACTTATATATTTAAATGTTGCAAGGTTTCTTAGCTTACTAATAGAATCTTTGGGGAAAGATAGGTACTGGTATTGTGTTAAATAATTCCAATTTGATGGAGAAAATGATGAATAGAAGGCAGCTGAGAATTAAATTTTCAGAGTGAGCCCCAGGTATCATGCTGATTTACAATAAGGAATGACTTGTAAAATTTGCTCTAAAAGAGATGAATTTATTGCCTATTTGAAAGCTTTTGTGTATTTTATTATGAGAAAAACAAACTGTAAAATCAAATTATAGTGAAACTTAGAAATTTCAGTACTTTTGTAGTTGTGATTGAATATAGCAGTGGAGAAAACTTTTAAACCAGTGTCTTACAACCAGGAAAATATTTTTAAATTAAACATAATATTGAACAAGTTTGTTTGATCAGAATTAGCTGTTAGAACATTAAAGTGTTGATGTGAAAAACAAATATTCTATGACATGTCCATGAAATTTCATATATTGAGTGTAAAAGTTGTGCTTTATTTTTTTAGGTTGGATTTTAATCATCAATATTTTCTCAAAGACATAGTGTCCAATCTTCCTATTCATTTTTTCTTTTCTTTAAATTAGGTACAAATCAAATGAAGAGTATGTGTATGTCCGGGGCAGGGGAAGAGGAAAGTACATTTGTGAAGAATGTGGAATTCGTTGTAAGAAACCTAGTATGTTAAAGAAACACATACGAACCCACACCGACGTCCGCCCCTACCACTGCTCTTACTGTAACTTCTCCTTTAAGACAAAAGGTATGAGCCCACATTGCTTCTGGGTCCTCAGTAGCTTAAAGGGACTGCATTTTATCTTCTCAACATTGTAGTTTTATTTTTTGTTTCTAAACCCTTTGGGAAAACAATTTTAATTCCACATTTTTAGAGAATATGGAATAAATGTGTCATTTTAAAAGAAGCAGCTGCCCTTTTGCTGTAATTTTGCTCCCCAAATTATAGTTGTATGACATAATGGTGAATACCACTTCAGAGATATTCTCTCTCGGGCTGAAGAAGAAGAAATGTTCAGGATAACAAGTAAATTCATCTGGGTCCTAAAAAACTAAAGAAAAATTTTAAACACTAGCACGGCAAACATTTACCGTAGTCACTACTCTTGTGCTTTATCGTGTAGACACATAATGCCATTTCCTTTCTTTTTCTTCATGATACATTTTCTTTTTGCCCAATACTGTTGGATTTTAGCTTCAAAAAATTTTTAACATTTTTAGTATTGAATGTTTATAAAGAGATCTCTCATCTAGTTATTAAAATCATTTAGATCCCTTTTGTTTTCTTTATGTTTTTATTTAACTCATAAGCCTTTATTTAAAAATAATTTTACCCTGTAACGTTTCCTGCTCCACATAATGGATACAGTACTATAAAATGTTTGCTTTCTCCTTGTTCAAGAATCATTACATGGCAGTTCGTTACTTGATATTTTAATGCTATGTACTATTCTTAAAAAAAAAAAAAAGAAACAACTCTTCACCAAATGTAATCATGAAAATGTCTGTATGGAGGAACAATTTCTGTAAAGTGTTTTTTTCGTAATCAGTTTTTTATAAAAAACTGATTTGTTTTGTCCCCTTTCTTGTCTTTTTTTTTGTTTTCCTGTTGTATCCTTGTCTTCACACTTTTGGATATAAAACTTGACCAACCCATTAGCAAAATTTGCTATGCCTTGTGGGTAGTGTTTATTGGCATTTAAAGAAAGTTATAACATGTAGCAACTAAACAGCTAAACAGTTAGCTGTCTTCAAATGCCAATAGCTGCCTGAAACGAGAATAATGGAAAAAGCAAAATGTTCTTCAGATAGCTTTGAACGCTCCTGTAAGGTTTCAAGAAGTCGGAGGAGTTGGGAGGAACATGGCTCAGTGGGAGCTTCATGGTGATGCAGAACCCCCTGGAGGTGGGGGCAGCTTCAGGGTGGTTTCCCAGGTCTTGGGTGAGGACTCTGATAGGAGAGAGTACTTTGATCTTTTAACCTCATTTATTACTTTTTCTTGTGATTAGAAAAAAGAAACATCAGTTAATTTCTAGTATGGGGCTAGGAGCATATTTAAAAGGCCAACACTACCAGTAAAAGATGACCAGGTACAGAATGGTGTTACCAAGAACAGGAACATGAAGGTGTAATATGAAATGAATAGTTCTCAATAGAAAGAAGAAAGGAATCAGGATATTCTAGAAAACAGTTCTCAGAATAAGAGCAAGCAAGGAAGGGTCAGGCTCAAAATGGAAAACCAGATTTCTTGGTTAGGAAAAATGTTATGAGTCCCCAAGTATTAATGTTAGTGGACTAACTCAAAACACATTGTGCAATATTTTAAATAAATGCTTATTAAGTGGACAAAACATGATGCCCCCTGAGGAACGAGCCTTTTCTGTCAGCAGTTTCCATGTCCTGTATTTCTCTAATATGCTGCAGTCTGAACTCGCATTAAAGTTTTTGCTTTGTCAGGCAAGTCATGTGGAGTTACAGTGTGTAGTTATTTCAATGAGACTACCCTAGCTAAGGGGACTAGTGAAGAAAATATTAGAAATGTTTTATTTCCCTATTCTTAATGTGACAGTCCTCAGTTTTTAGGGTCACATTCTTTTCTGAAGTATGTACCTTTTGTGAATCAATGTAAGCCAACCCCATAGCACCTTTTAATGGTAGCTCTTAGGTAGAGCTTTTTTATTTAATTAGGCTGTGGGTTTTGTTCAACTTTCTTTCTTTCTTTTTTTGGTGATCCTAGCAAATTCAACTGTACTTCTTATTGAATGTGTGGTTCTTAGCAGAGAGAAATAGCAAGAGTCACAGCGTGCTGATAAACACGCATGCTGGGCTCCAATGCTTCTGACTTACGGCTTAGAAATCTGTAGTGCTTCATTTGTCTCTTAGTTTATTTCATGAATACATTTCAAAAATAATTTTAATTAATTTCCTGATTGTGCTTTTAAAGGGCAGTCAGCAGAAAATATATGTGAACTTACATCTCTGCAAGATTAAGTCCCGTTTATGTCACAGAAAACTAAACTGTAGCTATGAGAGTCCAGAAGCAACACTTCCTATGCTTTCTAAAGGATTTGGATAAATTTTCTGGTAGATTTCATGAACATTTATCTCTTAAGTTAATACATTAGTACAGAAGAGTTACAGCATTTCTGTGGGATATTTGCATTTAAATTGCACATTTTGTATGTTTAAAAGGTAAATTTTTATTTGAAATTACCTAGGAGATTGATTAATAATAACCACTAGTGCAAGTTGTGAGAAACTATGCTTATTAAAATGCAGATTGCAAAATTTGCCTGGTTACAATCATATTTTAACTTCTTAGCAGAAAACCTACTATGGCTGTCCACCTAGGAAACAAAAGCATTGTGAAAGGGAACTGTTATGGACCATATGATTTGGTTTGTCATATTGTTATTACAGTAAAAGCATTTTAACTTACAAGTGGAAATTTTAGCCACTTAAGGTGGCCAAATTTTTTTATAACTTTTTAATATGAAAACTTCAAAGCTCTTATAGAGAATTAGAGATCTGTATAATGTGCCCATCATCTTTTGATAATCTTTAGCATTTTGCCATTTTCCTTCATATTTTATTTTTTAAGTATATTTAACATAAATGTCAGACATCACCAAACCGTTTAAGCCAGGTGTTCTGTTCAGAATGATATCAGTCAGTCTGACAGGCACTGTCTGGTCCAGGCAACCTCTCACACTGGCAATCCTTAAACACTCAGTTCTAGGCTGCTATGATAGTATGATGGAACATCCTATCCAGCGCCAGAATGGGCTTGTACAAGTGTAACCAGTTGCACACACTTAGAGTATTTGTCAAGAAATGGAAGTTTGTAAATATGGTAAATTTGCACAGGCTTCTCCTATTGCAAACTCCAAATTTGAACCAATGATTCAGAAATTTTTAGCTCTTCTAAAGACTCTTCTCAAATACCAGTTTGCCCTCATCCACCAAGCTCAGTGGATTTTTTTTGTCTTCTGAAGAAAGATATAGTTTGCCCTTATTGGCTGTGTTTTGGTATCTAGACTTTTCCACTAAAGATGCTTGGTATCCTCCGGGGAATCTGAGCTGTCCCCCTTCATTTATTCATGGTCACATGGGTCAAATGGGCCCTATTATTCCCAGTGACCCTCGTGATACCTGCAGAGACAGATTCAGCAGGTGCCACGGGAAGCACCCATAGGGACACTGATAGGAGACATCTAGTCAGTGCATGAAGTGAATTCAGTGCAGCTGTTTCTTTCTCCTGTTTCACACACAGAGAAGTACTGTTATTTAAAATGACCCAAATCAATTATCTGAGAATCAAGCTTAACTTTTTAAAATGTAGATTCCCAGGTGACAAAAACAAACAGACTCAAAGCTAGCGTGGTAAGCAGATAGGGGACTCAGTCAGACTTAGGCCTGCAGGCCTGGGTTTCAGTGCTTGTCTTGCAGTGGAGTCTGAGGCCGCTGGCTCTCCTGCCCTCGACTGTAGGCCTTGTGGAAAATAGACGATTTGTTTAAAAAATGCAAAATCCAACCCTTCCATGTACAAAACAAGACAAAATAAAAACAGAAAGTGGGTGATGTGAAACCACTGAAGCTCTGAGGCCCTGGACCGTTGTGGCACAGCCACCAGGTAGAGACCTTCCACAGCCCTGTCCTCAGGACTTCACGGGGACCATGGCACTGAAGCTAGATGACAGGTAAAACCCAACAGCCTGCAAGGAAGCAAACTGCTACCAGAGAGAGCCGGCAGGAGAGAACCAGCTCGCGCTCCAGGCACTGCAGGCCAGAGCGCAGTCTGAGTGGGACTTCAAACACGTGAAATGCTCCCAGAGATAAATTTGGAATAGTGAATAGAAACCATAGCAAGAGTAAACACTATCAGAAAAGGAAACAGATTTGAAAAAGACACTATTAATAAATGATGAGATCATTACAACTTGTAGATACCAGTATTTTCTTTCATTCAAATTTTATTTATTGAATTTGTTTAGCCACAGTCGTGTACTTTTACTTAAAATAGGAATGGAATTTGCTAGTGTTGACAAATGTAATAGCAAAATAATAATTTATATGTAAGCTTAGTAAATATTCTTTTCTCTTAAGGAAATCTGACAAAGCACATGAAGTCCAAGGCTCACAGCAAGAAATGTGTGGATTTAGGCGTCTCAGTAGGTTTAATAGATGAACAAGATACAGAAGAATCAGGTAAGGCTTTAAACCATGTTATTCACAAATGCTGTGTACAGTGCACTGTTGTTCTGCACCCATACTCTTTTCCTCATCCAAATTACTACTTAATTCCTGTTTTCATTACCTCTTATTTATCCTGTGTCATGGACTAACCAGTTTTCCCACCTTGAGTTTTTTTCCTTCTCCCATCTCTCTGCAACCATGTGAAGTCACTCTCCCTGAAGTGGGCGTCTGAGCACTACTCCTCTGATCAGAGTGTCCCACCGGCTCCCATTTGCCTACCAAATAAAGTGCCAACCACTTGACCTTAATTAAAATCCTTTGTAACCTTCCGCCGCCTGCTTCTACATCCTCATTTCTTACTCTCTCCCACCCTCATCACTCTTGAGCTTCCTTCTTTCATGACTTGAATCCTGTGATCCGCCTGTAGGACCCTCACTCCCACACAGTCCCACCTCCTGCTCTGCACGAAGAGTCTCACTGCCTTCAAAATGTACTGGAAATCCACCACCCCCACGAAGCCTCCTCTGATTTTCCTTCCTGCACCATATGGAACAGTATTTCCCTTCTTTGAACTCCTGTGGTATTTAAGTTTCTTCTCTGAAAGCATGAATCCTCTCTGCCTTGTTTTGGGTAATTGTGGCCACCCCCCCACACCCCCACCCCCGCTTCTGCACCTGTGCAGCATGAGCAGAGTTCCTGCCTGGGATGAATGAACACTGGTCCCAGCAGACCAGAGCACTAGTACAGGGCTTTGTATACAGTGGCTGCACCATAAGTATTTGTTGGTAAAGCATTTGGTTGTTTGTCTGAAATGTTCATTATTTTGAAAAACTTGATGGCTTTTTTTTTTTTTTATAACAGTGTTAACAAATTTAAGTATTTATCTCTAACCAGTTTGGAGGGAGAATAAACCTGTTCATCTGTTCTGACTAATCAAAAAATGGTGAATGTCTTTTACAAAATTTCTTTTTAACCCAAGGAATTATCAACACGAGAGAAATTTAAAAAGAAAAAAAAAAAGATGCCCTGCTATTTTTTAAGACTGCCCTAACGTAAACATTCATCTGCTTGCTGCATTTTTCTTAATTGGCTGATATAAAGAAAATTTCCAAAGAGAAAATAATGAGGACATCATTGAAAATATAGGTTAAAGGATCAAGCCATTTGATCCCATCTGACAAGTAGCAAAGTAGTAAATGAATCAGCTCAATTTTATTTCTAAAGATGCAAGAGTAATGCCTCCTGTCTTAAGGGTAAGAACAGTTCAGATATAAAAAGCTCGGAAATGTGTGTAAGAGATTTCGCAGATGTGTTTATCAACAACTGCTTAGGCAAGGAGCATAGGGAAGGCCACCGGGGAAACTGATCCCTGGAGACACAGGCTGTAAAACGAGGACTGTTACAGTGTCTACTGCTGTGCATTCCAAAAATCACATGTGTGTAGAATCCCCTGAACTTTTAAGGTAAGGTACTACTTACATCGTAAATTTGCATAGACGTCAAGTGTAGTTTCTGTTAATAATCATGCATTCTTTACATCTGCTGGCTGGCTGGTTGACTTGCATATCTGTTTTTGCATTTTTCATCTCATTGCAAAAGCATTGACAGCTGATCTTAGACTGCAAATGGAAGTTGGTGGCTGAGCTCCCTGTTAGGATTAGTTAGCCAATGAAAAAGGTGGCGGTTTTACCTGTTTTTTTTTTTTTTTTTAAGTTTCATTTTTTTAAAAAATCATTTATGGGAAGGGTCTCAAAATTCCCCCTTCCCAATTTTTATCAAATAATAAAGTATAAATACAAATTCAAAATTCTGATCTTTATGTCAGATGACAGACCTAAAATTCTTCATTCGTTTGCAAACAAAATATATTTTTCTTCTTTTGCTTTATGATAGGCTTGCAGTGTAGGTACAGTAAGCAGTTGTTTTAAACAAATGGCTTTGTGTTCCTTTTATTATTCTCTTGGGGCTTTTAAAAAATATTTCGAGATTTTTTTTTTAAATATAAAAAGACTGTGAAGACTTTTACTCCATACTCATGTGTTTATACCAGAGTTGATGATTGTAAATATTTTCTCATGCTTACCTCTGTTCCTTCCCATGAATTCAGTGTGTTTTGTTTTGGTTTTTTTTGGACCAGGGATTGAACCCAGTGGTGCTTAACCACTGAGCCACAATCCCCGCCCTTTTCTTGTTTTATTTTGAGACAGGGTTTTTGCTAAGTTGCAGTCCTCCTGCCTCAGCCTCCCAAGTTTCTGAGATCCCTGTGTTTTTTTCACAAGCTCAGTAAGCATGACAGCCTTCCTGTCCCTGCGCTGCAGACACACAGGCACCAGAGGGTTTCCCTGCCTTCCATTGAACATCCCTGAGTATATTCATGAGTAGTAGGTGGCTTAGTTCTATGTCTGGATTTTAAATTTGCAAAACAAAACCACTTTCTATGTAGATGCGTGGAAAATTAACCACGCTATAATTTTACGTTGTTTTCCAGAAGAGATCTGCAGTTTCCCCACTGCCTTAGCATAATTTTGTCAGATTTTGAATTTTCGGCCAGTTTGATAGATGAGAGTGTGTTGTCTTTTTGTGTGGTCTCATTGTTCTTGGAAAGAACTTCTACTCCATAGAACTGGTGGCAGAGATGGACTGTGTGTAGCGGTCCCTCAGGCAGGCCATGTTGGGGGCCGGGGCTGTGGTGGCTGTAGCACGGCGCCCTCCTAGCACCAGCCTAGAGTGTCCTGGCTGTTCCGTCTCCTTTGCTGGTGTCTCCGGCCAGCCAGCCTCTGCCCGTGGGCCCCAGGGGTGTGGTCTTCCATCTCTCTGCTTCCTTGGCTGACCCCTGGGCCGTCTCCCCACCATCTTCTCCTGTCTTGTGACTTGAATGCCATCTGGGTACAGATGACGCCTGTTGACTGCAGACTTGCCCACTCGCCACCTCTGCCCAGATGTCCAACAGGCATCCAAGTCGGAACATGCCCAGTCTCTGCGTCACCCCTTCAGTCTAAGGAGCACACCTCCCCTGCAGCGTCCCAAGCTTCCGTGGCATGGCCAACAATCTGACATTGCCTTGGTGTCCCCCATTTTCTCAGTTTGCCTCTCATACCTCCTTCAGGCTGTCTTCAGCAACCGGCCTTCTCTAACCCCGGCCGCCACATCCTCCAATGAGAGCCGCCGTCACATCTGCTGACTTGTGGCTCCTGACTTTCTGTGGCTTAGCCCTGCTCCTCCCAGTCTGTTCTCCACACAGCAGCCAAAGTGGCCTTCTAAACACCATGCCGGTCCTTGGTCCGCCACATCCTGGCAGCTTCCACCCACTCACTCTCTCTCAGGCTGGGCTCCACTCCTTCCGCCCTCGCCCACTGGGCTGCAGCTGTGGGCCTCCTCTCATCATGAACACATCTGTGGGCTCCAGTCTCAGGGCCTTTGCACCTCTTGCCACAGTTTGAAATGCCCTCCACCAGACTCCATGACCCTCCGCACCTGAAGAACAGGGATTTTGTTTTTTCGCTGTTCCCAGGGTTGCACCTAGCAGGTAGTGGTAAGTAGCAAACAGTGTAGACTGAATGAATGAGTAGACAGAAATGCCATATTTTTACAATTTGATACATTCTTTTTCCATTTAATTCCTTCTCTGGAACTGAATGGTTGCTGACTCACCACTTAATGCCTTTCCCCTGTAAGCATGGTTCCCTGTACTGTGGCCAGGGTCCGTAGGCATTAGTGAGGTGCAGACAGAATTCATTTAGTAAGATATTAGTCATTAGACTCGACCACTTGACACTTGACGTTTCCTCAGTGCTCTATTTTCTCCTCGATAACAGTCTCCCAAAGACCTTTTTCAGGAACTCCAGAGAAGGATAGTTGATTCTCTACTTGACCCATTCGCTCGTTTCTTTACCACTTGACAAAGTCTTCAGTGCGCTGTCCATCCTGCCGGAGCCCTTGGTCCTGCTGATTTTGGGGTGAATCAGACCTGGCAGGGAAGGGCTGCGGATGGCCATGTTGTTGCAGAGGATGCCCAGGGGGCCCCAGAAGGAAGGGAAGGGAAAAATAAATTTAAAAAAAGGAAGGAAGGGCTTGTCCGTCCTGCATTGCTTCAAGGGGAAGCATGGGCAGAGGAGGAGGGCGGGGGGCAGGCCTTCTAGCCCCGGGGATTTGTGTGGGCAACAGCGCACAGAGTGGGAGAAAGGAAAGCGCCTTAGGACGGAGGATAGGAGGGTCAGGGCGGCGGCCTGGGGAGGGCTGGCAGACAGGCGCACTGGGCCAGTCCAGGGGGAAGCGGTCTTTCCAGGTGTGGATTTCACTACTCGTTGCTTCTTCAGTTACAATCAGAGTTTCTGCCATCGCAGTTTATGTCAGGTTCTTCATGTTTTCACACTTGGGGACCATCACTTTTTAGATACAGTTTTTAGTATTTTTGTTGTAAATAGTCAACAATCCGTATAGTATTTCTTTGATTAAGACCATCTAATGTTTGCAGGGGGTTTAATCAACTAAAGCCATTTAAAGTCATTGCCTTTTTAGGACCAAGTACAACTGACTTTTATCCCATATTATTTTCGAATGTTCTGAAAAATGGAGACAAAAGATAATGGAGCTTTTAATCTGTGACCCTGGAATTTTCATTATTGAGCACGGGGCTTTTTTGTTTTAGGATTCTTGCTACTGCAAACGTGGATTTGGACAGTACTGGCTAAAAGAAGCAAGGGCTCATTAGGAGGATGGTCCTCTTCGGTAATAACAACGTTAAACAGCACTGCGGGGGGAGCTTCGCGTGGAGGGCGAATGTTTTTAGGAGGAAGTCCTCGGGGCTTCCACGTCCCTCGTTCTCCACCAGATGGAGCCTGGCAGCCTGGGTGGGAAGTCTGATGGGATTCTGCCTCTGACGTCCAGTTCTGTACATGTGTGTGTCCGTGTAGGAGGCTGGACTTGGAAATCTTGATTTTGTGGATTAGGGAGTGTTGGTTCTCCGGGATTGATGTCTGCCCCACCAGTTATCCTCCTGGGATAGGTCATGT